ATATACACATGTGTATATAAATATATGCAAATGCATACATATAGATACATATATATATATACACACGCACACATATATGCATACATACATACATACATACATACATACATACATACATACATGCGTCCATACATGCGTCCATACATGCGTACAGATATACATACATGCATGCATGCATACACACACACACACATGTACTACATGCTCTGACTACAGGTTTCAGGGTCTTATGTATGGTCAAACAAGAATTCAGGTTCAATAATGATTCAGGGTTTAGGCCCCTCCTAGGTGTAAAGATATATATATATATATACATATACATATACATATACATATACATATACATATACATATACATATATATGTGTGTATATATTTATACATAATTTGTTGAACAGATGTGTATAGGTGTATATGCACACATATAAGGCATTTTTCCGAAGGGACGATGGCCAAAGCCCGGAAAATGGACCAGTGCGGGAGCTGTGCCGGTTGGCCTGACATGTAGTCGACCGCCCCCTACGTCGACACCGTCCTGGGCCAACAGTACTGATACCAGTCATCATAGTAGTAGACATTGTAGAAGTAGCAACGGTAGAAGTAGGAAGCGCAGTTGTTGTTGCTGCTGCAGTTGTAGCTGCTGTTCTTGTTGTTGTGGTGGCAGCGGTGGCACTCGCTACTGTTCAAGCTTTGAAAGTCTAGCTGCGAGGCTTTATATCGCTACCTGCTCATGACCTACTTGAACTGGTAAGCAGGACCAGACCCCATCCGAGTCCTCCTGCAGGCGGAGTAATGTGCATATCAGCTTGCAGTCAGTGTCCAGAAGAACTTTGTCCGGATTGTCTCTGCGGTATAGTTGGAACCAGACTTGATCATTCACATGCTCTTCCGAGCGTTTCGGCAGCATCGTCTTGAAAGCATGCACACGACCCACAAGTATCCCAGAATTCAGATAGCGCCAGCGGTGCTTCGCTGGAGGGGTCTTTTCACAGATGCCATCGCTGTTTGGAAAACAGGTTTCCTCGGCACCGAAGACGATGCTGCGCCCAGATTCGCTTTCAAGCTCCTCAAACTTTCGGAGAACTTCAGACCGACTGCCGAGAACCAAACAATCAAACGCGTCTGCATAAATCCTCGGCTACAGGGCTGAAACAGAAACACCCGGCACGCTAAAGAAATGCAAGCAACATCGGCTGATACTGCGCTCCGAGAATCAAGACATCCTGGTCATTCTGTGTGAGAGCAAAGGTCCGCATCGCGTTTGCCTTTTCCATAGTGCCCCAGGAATTGCCCTTGCCTTAGTATTGGGGCCTGAAGAACTAAAGCAGGGTTTTGGGGCTCCCATATGACATGGGCTGTGAAGACATGGAACGGCATGGGCAAGGCCAGCGAAAACTTCACTCGATGCCCAGCCCGAAACCCCACCCCCGAATCGCAAGCCAGGAGCCCCTAAACCCCGGGGACCCGAAAGCCTGCAAACCTTCAACCCCTGAGCTCCAAAACCCAGGGCATGAGGGCCCTCAACCCTTAGAGAGGAAGCTTCTTTATTCGAACGGGGCTCGAGGGTATGATATCTTCGAAATCTAACCCATCTAGACACGAAGGGCCCGCCAAAACAATCAAGTAAACTTGTAGCAAACATGTTAGTAACGATAGTTATCCTTCAGATCGCAAGAAGTAGCGGTAAAATTAAGAATAATTTGCTCCAGATGCCGAGACCAAGTACGTGTGGAAACATCTGATTGGCCTCTGCAGAAACCTGGCCAAGGCAACGGTTGGGTTGCAAAGGACTGCTATAGGGTGTTAACGAGTTTTAACGTTGTTCGAACAAAAATTTAACCCGTTTGGAAATGGTTTACTGTGCTTTTAAGGGGGTGTGGAACGCTTCATATTGTCTGCGAGACTTCGCAAGTTGAGAACCTGGGGCCCTACAGTGCAAAGCCTAAACCCTTCAAAAGCCCGAGAAACAGCATGTTAAGCCCTGCCTGAAGGTATGCGAACGACCGGTGCATGTTGAACATAAAGGTCATCAAGTGAAGCTTCGTGCTATTCCTTGAAAGCAGGCTGAGGGTGGGTCACAGGAGTTGTAGCAGTAGTAAAAGCAGCAGCAGTGGTAGCAGTAGCAGTACCAGCGGCAGCAGCAATAGCATAGGAGCAGTAGTAGTAGTAGTAGCAGCAGCAGCAGCAGCAGTAGTAGCACTGGTAGCAGTAGCAGCAGTAGTAGTTTAGTAGTTGTCGTCGTAATCGTCGTCGTATCAGCAGCATGGTAGCACTATCACTAGCAGTAGGAGTAGCAGCAGCCGTCGTAGTCGTAGTCGTAGTGGTGGTGGTGGTAGTAGTAGTAGTAGCAGCAGCAGCAGTGCTAGCAGCAGCAGCAGCAGCAGCAGCAGCAGGAGGAGTAGCAGTGGCAGCAGCAGCAGCAATAGCAGTAGCAATCAGTAACAGTCAGTAGCAGCAGCAGCGGTAGCAGCAACTAGCAGTAGTAGTAGCTAGCAGCTAGCAGTAGTAGTAGTCGTCGTCGTCGTAGTAGTAGTAGTATACTAGTAGTGGTAGTAGTGGTAGTAGTGGTAGCAGTAGGAGCAGCAGTAGTAGTAGTAGTAGTAGTAGTAGTAGTTGTAGTAGTAGTAGTAGTAGTAGCAGTAGTAGTAGGAGCAGCAGTAGTAGTAGTAGTAGTAGTAGTAGTAGTGGTGGTAGCGGTAGTCGCAGCAGCAGTAGCCGTAGCCGTAGCAGCAGCAGTAGCAGCTACAGTAGCGGTAGCAGTAGCAGAAAAAGTAGCACCAGTAGCAGTCGCAGTCGCAGCAGCAGTCGCAGCAGCAGTACCCAGTAGCAGTAGCAGCGGTCAGCCGTGCAGTTTTGCAGTATGTGTCAGTGCGGCTGACTACTGCGTGCATCCTATCTGACTTAACTCAGTGCGGCAAAGCCGTGTGTCCCTGTGCATTTGCAATGTGCGCCAGAGGTTCGTCTGTCTGACTGTGTGCTCAGCCGTGCAGCATCAGTATCTGTGCATGCGTGCACCGTTGACTACTGCGTGCAGGGTTCCTAACTGACTTAAGTGCATCAAGGCCGTGTTTCGAAGTGGCATGTGCAATGTGTCCAAGATTGCATCTGCTTGACTGCGTACTCAACCGCGCAGCATCAGCTAAGTGCGACCACAGTTGACTACTGCATGCAGGGTTCCTGCCTGCATCAAACCCGTGTGTTTGTGTGGCATGTGCAGTGCGTCTGTGTGCTTCGCCGGCTTGGATATGTCAGCCTATTGGTCTGCTTTTATGCGCAGCCTCAGCATGGCTGTGCCTGGCGCCACCGCTGCGTGTGCATCGTGTGAAAGATGTGGGTCTGTGTGCTCAGCCGGATCGTCCATCAACGCACATGCAGCCAGAGCTGTAAATTGAATGCACGCGCAGCCACCAAGCTTGCGTTCCTAAGCAATAAAAAATTAAGCTGCAGCCTGGAGCAAGACAGTGCAAGAGAGCAGCTTGCAGTAGTGACCCCGGAGTGTTGTCTTTAGGTCATCGTGAAAAAGCCGTGCAAGACAACAGCTTACAGTATGACCTCGGAGTGGTGTTGCTGAGCAATAGCATGCAAAATGAGACCTACGAGTATGGACTCTTCGAATTTATGCTGCACCAAATTTGCTGACGTCCTAAAGCAGTACGCTCCAAGAACCCTAAGCCCCGTGCGTTTCTTCTCGAGTCAAGTGAGTGGGTTCAAGACAGATTAACCTTATCCGTTACCAAATTGCTAAACCCCATGAGCCTTCGAGCAGCATGCCACGACACTCCAAACCTTGACCCCGTACTAGTATTTAGGCATCCCCCACAACCCCCAATGCCTTCAACCGCAACATTGTAGGCCTTCAGGTAAGGAACAACCCCAACCGCCTGAGCCTAGGGCTCGCGGCCCCAAATCCCTAAACCCCTTACAACCCTAAAGCCCGAAACCCTAAACCCCACAACCCCAAAAGCCCTGCAACCCTAAATCCTGCAACCCTACAGCCCTACAACCAAAAAAGCCCTGAAGCCCCAGACTCCCTAAAGCCCTAAACCCTAAACCCAAATCCCTAAACTCCCTGAAAACCCCTAGACTTCCGACAGCCCTAGACTCCAAATTCCCAAAGAGCCCCTGGCAGAAGCCCGAGTCGCGCGGCCGACCGGGCAACCTGGAGCTCCGCTTCGACGCCCCTCCTCGGCTTTCACCGGAATTAGGGCTTCAGGGGTCTAGGGGTTTGAAGGGAGTTTCGGGATTTGGGGGTTTAGGGTTGAGATTTAGGGTTTAGGGCTTCAGGGGTCTAGGGGTTTGAAGGGAGTTTGAGGGAATGAGGGTTTAGGGTTGTGGGGGTCTAGGGGTTTTACGGGAGTTTAGGTGTTGAGAGATTGGGGGTTTAGGGTTTCAAGGGAATCTAGGGATTAGGGATTAGGGCATTGGGGTTTAGGGGTTTGCCCTCGCAATCGCTCAAAAAGCGTTTTAGTTCAGCCGTGGAGTAGCGACTGGAGAAGCATCGCCACGCTGGCACATGACAGCCACGACAGAGGCATAGCTGAGGAGAGTGCAGTTTAGGGTTTCGGAATGGGTTTGGCTGACCTGAAAGCTAAAAGCCTTTTGCGTTGTGTCGAGGGTTCAGTGCTGGTCAGTGTGGCATCTAGGGGCTCGTTTAGGGCGTGGGGGGCTGCACTCTGCGCTCTGGGTCGAGGTTACGACTGCAGGGTCAAATAAATCTTAAAGCAAGCTCGGGTGTGTTAGAAGACCAGAGCTTGCAACTGTGGAAGCAGCAGGCTTCCTTGAGCCGATGTACCCATTTCGGAACATCTACTCATGCGCTCAAGGACAAAGGCGGGTGAGTGGCGAATGCGTCGGCTCGAAGCGGATGAAATTATGCGAACTAAGTGGCTCGCGGCTTTGTGGAATCGAGGTGCAGGGCTGAGTTGGTGTAACATACTGGCCTTAACAAGTCCAACATTGGGTTCAGCACTTATTGGTCGTAAGAGAAAGGTATTTCTACATATTCAGATAGGGCTCTAGAGCTGACATCTCCGTGCTCGTGGGGATATACCGTGTAGCTCAGGAGTGCTTACCAGTGAGTTCCAAACCTGTGGACACAGGATACAAGAACTGTTTTCAGACACATGCTACCTTGAGTGGCCACAGGACTTAAGATAGCTGCTGACTCACTTCTGCTTCTACTCCCAATCTTGCATGACATCCTGCCATTCCTAACATCACCATGGATGACCAGTATTGTACTTGCTCTGCCTACTACCTAGCACGACGTGCACGGTGTTTGCTCCTGCTGTTGCTCGTGTTCCCCCTACCACCACCGCAATGCTGTTGAGTTTTGTTGCGGCTGTTGCTGAGGCTGGCGATGCCGGCATCTTCGGCGACTTGCACCACGCACCACCACTTTTGCTCACCGAGGCTTGCCTATTTGGAAGCTTACCACTCCCGCCACCACCACCACCGCCGCCGCCACCACCACCACCACCACCGATAATGCTAAGTCTTCGACTGCTTTGTTCGTTCTTTCTTCCGTGGTCTTGGTCTTTGGCTGGCCGGATTTCCCGAAGGACTCGTCCAAGTAAAACAAAATTTGCGCCTGTCGCTGTGCAGATACGCCGTCGCAACAAATCGTAGGCGCCCTGAGCCATAACCTCTTTCCGCCGCAACAAGCGTCTTGCTGAGTCCTACTGTTTAAGGGGGTGGGGTTTAATGGTAACCAGCAGAACAGAGGAATCTGGCCCAGGACAACAAATCCTGTGACAACTCCGGCTCGAGGGCGCGCAAGATCCGAGCACTGACCAATGCAAGAACCGAAGTTCATGTTCTAAAGAAGATCCTCTCCTTCAAGCTTGATTTCAGCATACTTGCTTCAAACCCAAACTCGACCGTACACCGAAACCCTAAACCCTAACTAGTCCGCCCTGTCGGACCTGCGTCTGCCCCGGCACGGCCAATCGATTGTTCGTTGGCTTCGGCACTTCGACGGGGGCAGGGTTTGCCTTTAGGTTTAGGATTTAGGGCTGAGGGTTTTTGGGGTACGGAAGGGTTTAGGATTGGTTAAGGGGTCACTAGGAATTCAAACTAGAAAAGGCCAGTGTACAAGCCTTCGATCAGTCGGATATCAAACATGGAAAGCCCCAGCAGCGTGAGCAGCGCGGGCAGAAACGGGCAGTCTTTCAGCAACGGATTCACGATGAAGTCCGTCAGCCCACTCACACTTGTCAGGTTCTCGTTGTAGGGCTCACGGTGATGGACAGCGTGATGCTGCGGGGGCAGCAATAGATGCAAGCGCTGCAGGACACGAACAGCAAAGGGCCTCGTGCCTTCGGGGAAGTGCGCATAGAAATGCCCGACAGCGGAGCCATAGGCACCAAAGAGGAGCTTTAAGTAGAGGATCTGTGCAGCGAGCAGTGTGTGATTTGAGAGCGCCGCAAAGCAGACAAGAAGAATCCACTGAATCCTGACAGTGTCACAGAAGAGGCGATACAGCCCGACTCCCCTGGTCGATTCCATGGGCCAGGCATGATGCATTTGAAAACCGTAGGCCACGAAGTCCAGAGCAGGTACTTTTAGGCACTCTTCGTGATCGAAGGTCCTATGGAGCAAGGCCGACATGAAGTCACCATAGAGGTACATGAAAAAAGTCAGCTTCCAGTCAGGAACCCACGATGGCTCAAAGAGGACGGTCCACAGCCCGAGCCCGAAGAAGAGCAGGTGATGAAGCAATTGCCACCAAGTCGTGGGAACCTGCTTCTCAGGCCCCCGAACGGACATAAGCATAAGCTTTTGACAAGAATATCCCTGCCTTCTGGGGCTCAGATGCAGGGGGAGTCAGATGGGAGTCCCAACAAAGGGGCCTGAATAAATGCCAATACTATTCCTTAGTTCTGCTGACTACGACTCTGCGACAACATACGTCACAAGCCTGTTCTACCAACTGCGGCCCCTATTCTAAACCCTTACTTTCCTGTAACCCTTACAGGAACTCTTCAAGAAGCCCATTTTTAACTATCCAGGAAGACCCCGTCTTTTCCCCCTTTTTCAAGGGCCCCTTCCTTCGGTGGCGGTGGGAAAGCGTCGTGGTTGGGGAGCACCTTCCCCCTTTCCGATCTTCGCTCCCTCGTCTGAAGCGGCGCCTCTTGTTGAAGAACCTGGGCTCTTTTTGACACTACGTACTTCATGTTTAGAGTCGAGTTGCGTTCAGGGTTCCCATGAGGGCTGCTATAAGCGCGCTATAATGGAAAGTTGAGGAATCGTACTACTAGTTATTCCATCCCTACTATTACTTAAAGCGGGTTACTAGAAATCGGGATATGTAGTGAAGACTAGGCTTTCCTTCTCAGTTCCCTACCAATAAAGATGTTGGGGAAAACCCGAACCCAAAATAGGATCCCCTTGCAAGCTCTATGTGATTATAGTGTCGCAACAAGGACCCAGGAACTGCCCTCAATGTCGTCCTTCTTCGCCACTGCGACCCGCATCCTTTGGCACAGAGGCCAGCAGCAAGCACATACCAAGCCTTTCTGGACTCCGCACCCACAGCCGAGAGCTGTGGTAGCCTGAAACTACAACAACGCGTCTATAGTCACCACAACTTGCCACATTACATACCCATTGGCTATGATAGCCGGAGGATGAGCTAAGAATGTTATTTATCTTCACAAGAAACCAGATACCCTTTAAAACCCTTACAACAGGAAAAGCACTATCACTAGTTACAAAACCCCGGTAAGATTCATCAAACGGAACCAGGTAGCTTGGACCCTTTTCCCACGGGCACACGGCTGTGTAGGGCTGGGAGCTGTCTGCTGGTAGCAAGCACCCCTGATTCCGCGGCCTGCATTCTCTCAAGAAGGGTCAGAACATGGAGCTGCAAGACCTGGCGCGAGTAAAACGCCTCAAAAAACTGCGGTGGAGAAACCAGAATGTTCCACAAGGATGCCATGCTGTGTACTTAGGAGTACTGGTACTGGTAGTACTGGCAGTGCTAGTAGTAGCTGCGAAGGATTAATCGCAATGTTTCCCAGGTCCAATCAGTTTCCTCTTGACCCGGCCACTACAGCTTAATTGTAAGATGTTCTGGGAATGGTGACAATACTAGTAGCACTGGCGATAATGACTCTTATGATAATCGCTACTCGTGAGCAGTCTGCCAGTCCGCAACATCACGATCATTTTGCACGGGCGTCTCCGTGTCTCAGCGCAACTACGGTTCTACAACAGGTCTTCAGCAAGCGTGAAACACGACGAATGCAATCCAGCGACGCGACTATGTGTGTGCACTGTATTCGTCTGCTCACTGTGTGATGGTGCTCATGAAGAATCTGCTTGTTGCGATGGATCTCGCATACATGATGAAGATGGCTTGCATGATTCTGATGATTCTCTAAGTTCCTCCACTATCACTACCACTACCACTACCACATCGACTGCCCCTGCCACCACCACTACAGAGGCTACCACTACCAATGCGACTGCGACAGGCTGCCACCGCCACCAACATGACTGCGACTGCGACTGCGACGACGACTCGCCCCCAACATCTAGCAATAGGCAAAAAGCGCCGCAGTAGCAGCAGAACAATTTGTCCTGCTGCTCAGAACTGCGGTCGGAGCACGTCTGCTCGGGCCTGAGCCAACGAAGAACCACACATGAGGGTCCACAAAAACATCAGGATTACTTATGTAAAGGCTTTTCAACCAGGGTCCTGGTATTTGGGGTTCACATTAGGGCCCCTTGCCTCCTGAAAGTCCGAAAAATACACAACCACGGTTCATAACTTCACGAGATACAGACGACCTCAACTCTTCACCCTTAAGCGATCATCATCTATGCCCTGGGAACCCTCGCATTGATATGGGGGCTAAATGAGGAACAGGGCGATCCCGGCAGTACTCAGCTCCGGTCGGAGGTTGAAGCCCGGGCCCTTACGGTTGAAGAACTACGGAGGGCAGATCTTCAAAGCTCGCAAAGCTAGGAAGGCTGATAGGATTTAGGACCAAGATAGTCAGGGGTGGAAGTCATTTTCAAAATGACGAATCGATGGATTCCGGGTCCAGGGTGTAAGTGTCAGGATTGGTCTGGTGCTCAGACTTGGTCCTCGGACCATCTGAATCTGCGAGCCTGGCTATCCCAGACCTAAACCAAAAAAACTCCCCTAAACAGCCTCTAAACCAACTAAAAAACAAAAAAAAACCTAAAACCACTCAAAAACCCCCATCAAACCCCATCAAACCCCTAGTCCCCCCTAAACCTCAAGCGCTATAGACCTAGATCCTGGGGCTGGAGGCTGCAGGTTCCCAAAGACTTCCAGGAGCCCTTTTGAGAACTCCAGGAGGTTTAGGGTTTAGGTCGATTTGGGGTTTAGGGCTATGGGGTTTAGAACTTAGGGCTCAGAATTGAACGGGGCATGGCAGGCCTGAACAAGGGGGTTATCCAGGGCTGTATGGGGAGATATGGGGCATTAGTGGTTGGATAGGCTTCAACATGAGGGCTGTAGAAATACGAAAGGGGTTTTGGGCTGTATCACAGTACATAATCACTGTTGTCCGCCTAGACCCGAAATAAACTCGTTTAACCCTAAATAACCCTAACACCGAGCTTTGACATCCTCCGATGTTTCGTCCGCCACCAAACCCCACCTTCGGTGGGCTTTGAAAAGTGCGAGGGTTCGACCAGAGTCTTCCCATGGTGATCATCATAATACTCATGCCAATGCTACTGCTGGTTAGCCATACCACTACTCATACTCATACTAGTGCTAATGCTAGTTATTCACACTTATACTCATACTCATACTAGTACCAACTACTAAAATACCACTGGCAATAAGAGCAGCAATCTTGCTCAGACGGGGCGACCCTCCTTCGGAAAGCCGGCGACGTGAGCGGGTAAACGCACCAGCCCGAGCTGGGTACACCGAAGCCTTGAAGCTGATGATGCTTCGATAGCTTCCAGCGGCTTTTAGGCATAGTAGTTGTGTAGGCCTAGGGACTTTAGGGTGTAGTGGCTATAGGGCCTTCAGTTTTGGGTTTTGGGTTTTGGCTTTGGGTACTGCGGCACTCACCATCAGAAAGCTTCTTCGACATAGTCTTCCTGTGAACACTCCATGCTGGTCTGCATCATTACCAGCGTGTCATCGACACCGCTCTCCACAGACAGAGTTCTCAAAGGTGTCGTCGGCTGCCCAGATGAGAAAGTTCTTAGTGTCTCCGAGCCAGTCGTAGTCATGTCCAGCCTGGGCAGTTCTCGCAAGCACAGTAAATTAGCATTCCATGTCCCCCTTGCCAAAAGACTATACCCAAGTTCGATTTATGTCTTCAGGAACAGCCAAGCAGCAGCGAGCTAAGATTCGCTGAGTGCTCTCTCTGTAGCCTCGAAGCCACCTGCTTGGCCTTCAGTTCCAAACTTGACTCGGAGAAGGATTGCGGCAGGAAATGCACCGCCACCTGGGAGTTTCAGAAACAAAGGGATGTATTGAGAACCCCCCCCCTCCGCCCTTCCCTGGCCCGACCTGAACGAAGATGGCCTTCAGCACCTTGACGTAGGTCTGCGCCGCGTGGAAGTCCCGGGCGCTTTGGACCTTGGGATGCCTTTGGAGCTCCTGGAGCGCAGTGGGCGGCGGGATCTGAAATCCGTCCTCCGCCGTCACCGGGAGGACGTTGCAGGAGGAGGCGACCCGGTAGGCCTGGAGCACCCAGTCCACCATGTGCCCGGACACCAAGCAGCCATGCGTGCAGACCATGACCAGCAACAGAGGCCGATAGCTCACATTGCTCGTGTCGAGGCTCTGGGTGGTTCGTTTGATTTTGTCTGTGGCCCCCAGAACTTTGGGCAAGACATTGCAGAGGTGCAAGACATGGGGAGCCATGAAGTGCCGCAAGATATGGGCTGTTGCAACAGCCTCCATGGATTCTTGGTCTGCAAGGATCAGACAGTCCGACTCAACGACTTCTGAGGAGGGCCTGCTAGTTCCCGTCAGAAAATTCACAACATCGGTTATTTGAGATCGCCCCAAAGGCGACTGAAGCGTGAAGGATCTCAGAGTCCTTAGCCACCTTATGGTCTCCGTGATGTCTGCTGCACCGAAGCCCCAGCTTGCAAGATCGATCTTGCTCTGAGCCATGCTCTCGAACTCATCGATGAAGGCATCAGAGGGCATGAAGAAGTGAGGCAAGGCAAGGAGAGTGGCATCCAGTTGGTGCAGCCGGGCAGTAACGAGCTCCGCTACGCACCAAGTCCGAGTAAGATACATGGGTGTGGCAATAACCACCAGTGCCTCAACATTCCTTAGCTGTCACTGTGGCAACTGCCAGTGGGGAGATAAAAACCACCGGACCTCAATATCTTCTGTTGCCTAAACCAGGCAGAACCGAAAGCAACGCTTCCTGCAGGTGCACTGTTGACTCTGGACGAGTTTGATGTCGGCTGTACTGGCCAACGATAATGCGCAGCTTTTGCGGCATCTGCCAATTTTGTCATGGCACTCTACTCGATGTTAAGCAAGGTGTCTTCAACGATCGTTGTGCGTTGTCCTTCCTGCAGATGATGCTAGCTTTAGGGCTTGTGTTTCGCTTCTTCTCAGCTGCGATTGAGTCTCTGGCTCAAGACCGCAAACCTTGGCTGCTCGAAACACAGCAACGACTCTGCAAAGGGCTCACAGTTCCGCGTTGTCAGTATACGCCGCGCCCTCATTGTCGGTAGTACGTCACCTTTCGACATATCTCTAGTATTAAAACTGCTGCTACTGCTACTGCTACTGCCACTGCTACTGCTACTGAGCTGCTACTGCTACTACCACTCCTACTACTACCACCACTACCACTACCACTACCACTACCACTACCACTACCACTACCACTGCCACTACCACTACCACTACCACTACCACTACCACTACAACCACTACTACCACTGCCACTACGACT